TTTATATTACCAAGGAAACAAAGACATCAATGTTCACACAACTTGCTTTCCAAAACGTTTTCTGACTTGGTCAAAATGTCTTGAAATGCAAATGTTTAACTCACTTACATTAATGACTTTAGTTGCGTTTTTATTTACAATTTACTGCTATACTGCTCTCAACACTGACTTGCACCAACGAGGGACATAGACGGCATCTTTCTTCCTGTTCTGTGGGCACAATGGCCAAGGTTTACAGAAACTGTTGTGAGCCGCAGAGCTGTGTTTTGAATACAGGCAATCTTAGCCTGACATCTAATCTTACCCGCTACACTGTTTCAAGACGCAGCTTCATCTACTTCCTTTCCAGAAAAACAATTTCTTCTCGCCCGGACACGGGCTTGCACATTTCAGATAGCTCACCAAATGCGTTCTGCATTTTTGTCTTGGACAGTCTGCACCCTTGTTGCTACTGCCCTTAGTCCCATGTTGCCGAGGACAAAGTGGACAATCATGCATAAAAGGCTCATCACTTCCTGATAGAATTCTTCGTTCCCAACCAGCCCAAAAATCACAATCCCAGAGAACCTAGACAACAAAGACAACCTAAGAGAGACATACATGGATCTAATCTACATGGGAAGTAGAAAAAGACAAGGTCTTCTGAGTAAATTGGGAGCATGGGGACCATGGGAGAGGGTAGAAAGGAGGGGAGAAAGAGGGGAGTGGAGAAAATTGTATAGCTCAATAAAAACAATTTTAAAAAAAGAATTCTTCTTTTCTTCTTTGCCATGTTGAGGGGTTCCTTCAGCATTTACTCTGCCAGAAGGAGTACTTACTGATCCGACATGATTACTGGAGAGCTGCGAGCAACATAGACAACCAAAAGCAGGGTCTCTCAGCAGGAAGGGCAAGCGGTATTATACATAGTTCACTTCACAGTTTTAACCTCTATAACTGCTAATAGGTATGAATGAGTTCTTTTTATTATCACTTTTGAAGACAAAAAAAGGCAAATAAAAAGAATAAAACAAGAATGTGCTTCATCGGTGATGGTCAACCTACCAGAGAAAGTATCAGTCAGAGCAACTTGGCAAAAAAGAAAAAAGAAAGAAAGAAAAGAAAGAAATGGCATGCAAATAGGGAGGGTAAATGACTGTCCTTATTTACATTTAATATGACTATATCTAGAATAACTCATCCCGCATGCGCACACACACATCTTAAGCTAGTAAACAGCACAGCTGTTGTAGGGTCAACACACAAAATCAGCTGTTTCTATACCACTAACAACAATACAGAAAATTAAGAATGCAATTCAACTTAGTATAGCACCATAAGACTAAATGCCTACCAATAAATTTAACCAAGGAAGCTAAAGGCAACGGAAACACTAAAATTCTACAAAAATAAATTGAAGAAGACTTAAGCAAATGAAAGGACTCCATGCTCATGGCTTAGGATGCTTGACATAGTTCAGATGGAAATCTTCCAGCACTGCGCATATTCAACGACATCCCATTGGAAAAGTCTTTTTTCAAATTCATATGGAATTTCAAGAGACCAAGAATGATTAAAATAAGAACAAAGAATCAACGCTTCTTGATCTTTAAGACTCAAAACAAAGCTAAAAAATCTAATAAGTCAATGGAAAAGAATTGAAAGCCCAGAAATAAACTCTAATATTCTAGGCTGAGTGATTTCTCAAAGAGGAAACTAAGAACACCCATTAAGGAAATAGTATCTTCTCAAAACAATGCTTCCACAACTGGTTAGCAATAAAAAGAGTATTGCTCATTACCGTGTTATGTTTAGTATTGTATTGTAGACTCAATGCCAAAAGTAGAGCCACAAAAGAAAAACTACTTACACTAGACAAGGTGAAAACGTAAAGCTTTAGTGCATCGAAGAACACTATCAAAAAAAGGGGAAAAAAAGACAACATTTGGAAATCTCTAATAAAGGTTAAATACGAAAAATAGAGAGAGAACAGCTGAGTTAAAAAAAAAAGAGGCCGTAACTTTTTCTACAAAGCAGATATGTTATCTGCAAGCCTATAAAATGTTTGATATCATTGATTGGTCTCTTTATATTTAAAAAAATAAATATAAATCGGAGGCTAGAACTATGGCTTGTCAGTTATGAGCCCTTGTTCTTTCCGAGATCCGGGGTTCAATTCCCAGCACCCACACACTGATTCATAACTGCCTGTAGCTCCAGTTCCAGGGCTCCCTAGGCCCCCTTCTGGCCTCAGAGGGCACCTACATGCATGTGCGTTCACAGATAGACAAGGAAGTACAACAATGAACATAAATAAAAATCAAAAAATTAAAAAGATTATGTAAATCAAAGCCACAGTAAGATACCACTTCATACCCAGTAGCATGGCTTTAGTTAGGGGGAAAGGTACAGGTCAGGTGTGGTGGCACAAACCTTTAACCCCAGCACTTGAGGAGCAACCTGTTCTTGTTCTACATAGTAAATTCCAGGACAACCAGAGCAACATAATAGAAGGACTCTGTCTCCAAAAGAGAGGGAGAGAGGGTGGGAGGGAGGAAAGAGAGAGAGAGAGTACAAGTGCCATATGTCAACAAAGTCCCAGTCACTTGGAAAACTTTGACAGTCCATTGAAAAGTTAAATAGAAAATTAGTTTATGCCTTAGCAATTTTCCTGCTAGGTGCACACTCAGGAGAAATGAAGAAATGTGGCCACAGGAACACCTGTTCAGGAACATTCCTACAGTAACACTGTTCATCCCAGCTAAAGGCTGAAACTCAATGTTCAATGAATGGATAAACCTATCGCAGAGATACACTAATAGACACAATAAGAGGAGCATGCGTGAGGGAAAACATAGGAAATCAGACATGGCATAATATTGTGAACACACTGACTACCACTAAATTATGTACTTTAAATCGATTGACTGTGAATTATGTAAATTCCCCTTTAATGAAAAAATTACATAGTATTTGGGGGTTTTGAAAATCAATTTTAGCCTTTTCCTAATTTTTTTTGGTTTCTAAGTAATTTTTAAAGCCCCTCTACAAATTTAATATTCTTTCTTTATCCAACTCCTATGGCAAATTTGGATTCTTCTCGTGATGCTGTTAGAAATAACCTACACCCGTGTAAAGATGCGTTTCAGCCTACTTTTTATTGAGAAACAAATAAGTAAAAAGAATGCTAGTGAATTCATAACATTAAAAACTCAACAGCATAGGAACAACATTTTTATAGAAACCTCTTTATACTACAGCTTCAGTAGCTACTCAGTCTTGGTGAGATTGTAATTTTCAATGAAATAGACCCACTTCTTAAATGTTCTAAGTTGATCTGGCAAGAGCCCAGGAGATTGGCTCAGGGTGTGAAGATGCTATTCCAACAGGCCTGATGACCGAGTTTGATCCCCTGAACTCCTGTTATAAACTCGATCTTGTGGTGAGCATGTGTAAGCCTAACACCTCTACAGCAAGATAGGAAAGAGATAGGGAATCTCCCAGAAGCCCCAGGGGCTGGCTAGCTATATACTGTGTTGCAGCAGTAAAAAGAGAAAGCTGTCTCACTAGGTGAAAACTGGCTCCCTGAAGTGGTCCTCTGACCCCCACATGCACACGATCCCCAACTCACATGCACACACACGCCCCATTTTTTTAATACTGCTTTAACAAGGAATTGGTTAACCACCATTCAAAACTCTATTCTTCAGGGGCTTTTTATCATTTTATTATGCAAATAAGAGTAAGAAACTAAACTGCTAGTTGTGAGTTTGTGAGGATGCTTGAATCAAATCATTTCAAGCTCTTTGCACAAGGTAAGTTTTCATAGGGAAAAGCATATAGCTGTTAGACTCAAGAAATGAAATCTGTATGGATCAGGTAAAAATACAAAATATGGAAGAAAGATTATTTTCAAATAAACATCGACATCTTGCAGGTATGTGGTTCATTTTCGTACAGCTAAGAAAAACAAACAAACAACAACAACAAAAACCAAACCTTTGTCCCAGAAGTGTCTAGGTCACCACAAATAAGGTTTCCAAAATGCCTAGAATCATAGCTTCTACTCAACAATCATCTTCTACAGACATTTTAAATGCCGCTAAGAACCAAACACCAGCGGTTGTATTTTCTAGTTGTGAATACAATCAGAACACTTGAAAATGAGCAGTTAAACCTGATAACCACTGACAGAGAATAAACTTGAGAATGTATAAAACGACCTCAGCCCTTACACAAAGAGCTCCTTACACATCTAGACTTTAACCCCAGACGAGGTTTGCTCTGTAGCCAGGATGGTCTCGAACATGCGCTCCTCCTGGTTCAGCCTCCAGAGCTGGGATTATAAACACTCAGCACACACTAGATTTATTAACAGGGTTTGAATTTGCCAAGCAAACAGCACAGGATGTGAGTTGTTTTCTATCTTCATACCCTCGCAGCAAGCACCGCGCTTACCTTTGCTGGGTTGTTGGGGTGTTTTTGGAAAGAGAGAGGCACAGACATTACCCGTTTTTCTTCATACACTTTCAATGAATAATAATAACGCATAAAGGGGAGTTTAAAAGTGGTTGGAAATCAGTGTAAGTCTAGCTTTCAAATCTGCTAACATACATTGTAAAGCACTTCAAGAAAATACTGCTAGCTGCAGGTGGTGGTGGTGCACACTTTTAAGTCTCAACACTTGGGAAGCAGAGGTGGGTGGGTCTCCGAGTTCTAGGACAGCCTGGCATACAGAAAAACCCTGTGTCAAATACCGCCCCCCAAACATACACACACACAAACACACACACACACACACACACACACACAAACACACGTGAATGTTTACTTTACTTCAAATTGGCCTAGGGAAAGCCAAGTGCCTTATATTTATATCTGTTTTCTCCTTTACCTTAAATTACTTGTAATTTTCAAGAAAGGCTTACAAAATAAGAATCATTACCTAAAACCTTAATATCAATCCCTGAAAGCTTAAAATAAAAACTAAGTTTCACAAAATAAATACACTGAAGCAGCTATAATAGTAATAACCTTTATTTAAAATAGTTTTAATTTAGGAAGCTCAGTTTATATGAGTTTCCAACTAATTATTAGAATCAAAGACAAACAAAAAAAAAAAGCCAAAGAAAATCCTCTGTAGAAAAAATACACAAGAACATTTCTACATATGAAAAACAGTAAACATTCTTTACAGCCAGACACCCACGTGCTAGTGTGAAAGCCACCTAGTGAACACCACTGTCGACCTTGAGATCTGATTTGTTCTTGTCGTTCTTCACCGAGTAGATGAAATATGTTAGGGTGTCTTTTTCATTCACGGGAATAGACCTAAAGTGGCAACCAACTATCTGCAAAGAAGAGAGAACCACGTAAATATTAGATATAATAGATGCTGCTGCTTTGTCAAAGTGTTATAGAACCCCAAGAGATATTCTTCTGAAAATAAAGCTGTTTAACAAAAATATAAATAAGCCCCAAAGCACATAAAAACAATATATGATAAACAAAAGGCAGTCTGATTTCAAAGGACCCATCAGTCTACTCAGTTCATGTATATGAACTAATTCTAATGCTTTGGTACACTCCGTTCATGTGGCACTGGTTATGCGTATTTTTCCCTTTAAACTTTTCAACTAGCTTAGAAAGTACATATTCTTAAACATTAAATATCATTGAGATAAGAACTGAGGTACATCATATGAGGGAGAGTCTAGACTGTATTCCCAGGAAAAGATTAATATAAAGTAAACAAAACAAACACTGGTAACAAACTAGGATACCATAAATATCTTTGGTGCAGTTAATATTCATTCTTCATATGTTTCTTGCAAAATTTTCCAAATAAAACTTAAGAATGGAGAATTAGAGGAGCTAGAGGGATGCTCAGCAGGACCGCTTTCCTGCTTCCTTGTCTTCTCACTACACAGACTGAATGTGGACACAGCTACACCCGAGTAAGAAACGGAGCAGCTACGGTGTGCGTTCAGATTCTAGAAGGCTGCCTGTTCTAGAACAGAAAATAACTCTGAACTAATACAACTGTTTTAGAAGACCAGATTTGAGTTATATACTATATAATGCCATATAAATATAACGTTTGCATCAGTTCTTGGTTCCTGTCTGTTACAGAACACAGACGACTATGCTTCATTAATGTCTAGCATATTTCATCATAGTAGGGGGGATGTCTTTATATTTATGTAGTGCCGCAGTAAAAGGACTAGATCTTTTAAAGAAAAGTTAATTTTTGTTGTCTAGGCAAGAAATATAGGAGAAAATTTGGCTAGTTAGCACACCGAATTCTAACAATGTTAAAGAGCTTTCTGCAAAGAATTTTAACTTGTGTTTACCTTTTATTTACTATGTACATTAGTTAAGGTGAAGAATATGAGAAAACTCATGCAAACACACACACACACACACACACACACACACACACAGGGAGAGAGAGAGATTTCTGTCCTGTCTATTCAGTGGAAATTTTTACTTTAGATATAAAGTATAATTATTTAAATCTGCAAATATGTTAAAGTGCACTGACTTTGTGGTTCTATTACTTCTTGAACCACCCCCTTCTTGTGCCACACACACACACACACACAGAGCTAACTTCCAAAGCACATTGAAAGAAGCAAAGTCCCACACAAAGCAAACTTTAAGCAAAAGCTTGAATAAAATCTTTGCTCTCTCTTGATGTAAAGAAAGCATCCTCTACTTAAAAACGACTGTTGACAACAGCCCAAAAGTGAAATCAGAAAGTTAAGAAGCCCTGCTTCAAGGCTCATCCTGTAGGCCTATTCCACAGGAACTTTGAAAACTGAATTCTAATAAATGCTTATAAACTTATTTATTTGCTATGCCTCAATTAGGTGTTCAATAAATAGTCACTGAATAATTGGAAATTTAAAGCGGATTTCTAGAATGATAAGAACTTCTTGCTGAAAACTTATTTGAAAAATCACTATAAAAAGATGCTGTGGATGGATTGTCTAGGTGGCAGACGGATGTTTCCAAACAACTCTATTCTCCCACAATAGACTATTAACTTTAGCTTTCCTATGTGTAATGTACTATTCCATATACAACATTTACCTAGATCACCATCACTTACTGACCCCTTGTTAGTGCAAACAGGTTTGTTTAAACTGTATAAAACGTACATATACCTCAACAAGTTGTGCTTTATTAAGACCTGGTCTGGTTGGAAGCTTGAAGTGTCTTTTGTATCTTCTAAGTGTATTTACTTGCAATTGGTACAAATCAACCTAGAAAAAAATTAATATACAAATTAGTTCACTCCGCTGGAAGGATAGCACTGATCTGCATGGCAAAGGGCACCTCCACCTCAGCGCAGTAACAATCTCATTTGCATAACCAGAGCTACAGTTTATTAAACAGTTCCAGCTCTGGGGGATACATAGTATAAACTTTTAGAGAACAAAAAAGGAAGTTATATGCCAAGGGCTATGAAAACTGTCACCTGAGATTTAACACGAGTAAATACAAAATTGTAGTATTTGTATTTAATTTTGAGATTTCTCAGATGCTTTAAACATTTAATACTTAGCGCAAATATTAAAGGCTAAAGTAAAAATACTAAAGGCTCTGGAATCGTCAGTCTGCCTATGATTGACACTTCCTGAAGTCTCATCTACCTCTGGAGTATCGATATCCTGGACAGGCGAATCTCCTCCATCGTCGTCACTCCCTTTCCTCTTCCTTCTGTTCCGAACACTCTGAATTAAGTTTTTGTGATAATCACAAATGTAAAGATGTCTTGCCTGAAACAGAAAAAGTTTCGTCGATTTTGAGTACAGAAAAACGCAGCTCTGTAATTAGTAAAAATGCATAGGCCTGTTATGCCCGAATCCGTGGGTCCCCATAAAAGCCAACAAACGAGATGGAGTCCCACATGTAAAAGCAAAGAGCCTTTATTTTAATCAAGTTTGCAAACTCGGTCTCCCCGCATGTCCAACGTATTGGAATAACCGGAGAGCCCTGAGCTCAATTAGAATAGGGATTTATAGTAGTAAAGGTGGGGGTGAGGGGTTTCTGAGTTTCTGAGGTTTTAAGACCCCTGATTGACTGACATTCGTCTAGGGTTTCTTGGTGACTTTGTGCTGGCAGGTGTTTCTATCTACATTGCTTGGAATGCCAGGAATTTCCTTGGAATGGTCTGTTCTTGGGTCGGGGGTCGGGTGATCTCAGCTAGTGGTTTCTCCTGCAGCCCTGCATCATCTAAGGGTAAACAAGGGAGACTCCAGCCTCCATCGAAATTCATCGATGGCCAGAGTCCCAGGTGATAATGGTTGGAGGAAGTAAAGAACTTCCTTTCTGCCCAGACTTAGATTATCATGGTTGGCCCTCACAGGCCCAAGTGAATGACTGAACACACATACAGTCTAAGCGGGCCACTGTTAAGACGATGTAATGTCCCTTTCCAATTTTAAAACGGGTGCCGGGCTCTAACATTAGCAGGTGGGTGAGGGGGCCGTCAGGAAGAGGTGAGTGGTACCACTGGAGAAAGCAGGCAGGCTATGCATTTTTCTAAAATGTGCCTTGAATCCATATCCTAATTATGTTTAAATTTCAAGTGCTATAGTTTCTTTTTTAAGAATTAAATGAATGTATTTATCTCTATCATGTTGTTTTCAGTTAAAGCAAACGGAAATTATTCATGTTCATTTGCAAAGTTTCTCATGGGCCCTACTGAAAAACTGCTTAAACAGAGTCACAAATAGAGAGAGAGAGAGAGAGAGAGAGAGAGAGAGAGAGAGAGAGAGAGGGAATACTGAGCTGAATACTGTCTCCCTCTCCTCCCTTTAAGGCTACACTTAAGGGCCGAATGAACACTTTTAAATTAACTTCTAAGCTAAGGGCAAGTTAAAAATATACACTATGTATGGAGGTTCTGTATCTTGTTCTTCCTTTGCCATCAGTCAGAGCTTTGAAAAGTAGCAATGGATCGCTCTTAAACCTCATAGTTGGCCAAAAGAGCAGACGTACATAAAAACGGAAAAAAAAGAAATCCCGATGGCTGCCGAGCGGGCTGTAAAACCGCAGAGGCTTATTTGCAGCCTCGGTTCGGAGCAGCTGCCCGAGGAGCTGACACCGCAAACGCCGTTTACAACCACCTCCCACCAAGGCACTGTTGAGCTCGGCTTCTCTCTCCGTGTACAAGAGAAAGGATTTCCCTCCTCTGTGTCGTGGGGTCCTGCCAGACACTACTTTCCCTAAAGGAGCGGAGCTACTCCCCGGGGCCAAACGCTGGCTCGGGCAGCAAAACAAAGGCGCCTCCATTCCAGAAGGGGCTGCCCGGCTACAAGAAAACTACTTGGGCCCTCAGTGCCGCGGTCCCCTTTGTTTCGTTTCCAGATCGCAGCAAAGGAGGAAGAGGGAAGCCTGGCGTGGGAGAGACGCGAGGCAGCGGGAGTCCGGGTGAGGGGCGGAGGGGACCCGCACCACACTGCGCCAGCGCGCGCTGGGGGAGGTGGCCCGAGTTGCAGCGACTTTGTTTCAATCGGAGAACCCACTAATCCCACCTGCAGCCCAGTCCCGAGGACTCGTGAACCCCGCCAACGACCCGACTGGGCAAGCAGGGTAGGGCAGGGCAGGGCGGTCCCGTTGCCACTTACACTCTTATCCAGCTCGATCTTCACCTTCTTCTGCGAGATGCTCTTTTGGATCCTCTTGCTGAAGCTGGCATTGCCAGCCGCGCGCCCGCACCGCTCGCCGTCCTCCCGCAGACAACAGAGTTGTCCGGGGCCAGGACCCGCCGCTCCGGGGGGTCCTGAAGCCGAAACCGCACCAGCACCCGGTACCTCTGCCCCACCGCCCGCCGCGTTCCCATTC